GTGTCCTCAAACTACAGCCCACGGGCCACATGTGGCCTGCCTAGGACATTTATCCAGCCTGCCAGTTTTTGCCACCGCTGCCTGTCCTGCTTAGCAGCTGACTAGTCCCGGCCCTCCAACAGTCTGAGGGACAGTGAACTGGCCCCCTGTTTAAAAAGTTTGAGGACCCCTGCTCTAGCTGGTATGAAATAAATCACAGTTTTATTTAGCAATATTCCGACTTCACTACCTTTCCATTTATGAGCCAGTCTTCTTTGTCTATCACCAAATCTTCACTCAACTGCTCACTTAAGAGACTATCTTAAGTACTTACTATGCGTCTGACACTGTGATAAGCACAGGAACTCTGCCTTCCTGAAATTCACAATCTAGTGCAAAGAAAAAGAATTATCAAATAAGCACAAGTACAAACCGTGGTAACATGAAGGACATTAGCAGCAATCTATGAAATTTAAAAGACCAATTCAGTTAAGTGGGAGAGTCAGCAAAACCTTTCCCAAGGTACCATTTACATTCTAAAAAATGAGTAGGACTCAATCAGCTAAGTTACTATTTATAAAAGCCCGTGGCAGCTATAAAGGTCCAAGCATCACCACCATTAATAAGTGCAGACGTATTCTCTTATCTTTAATAGATGCTCTAGCAGATATAATGTCTGCCTTGGGGCCCTTCCCCAGGCATCATGAGGCATTAGTGAGAGACTGGTTTTCTCCTACCTTCCTTTGCAACATTAAGACTATTACTCCTGCACTGTCTGCACTGCTGGTTATAGCTGGTTATACCAAACTATATCTGCCAACCCAGTTATCTAATTTTGTTGGGGGGGGGTTGGTTTTTTTTTTTTATTTTTGGAGACAAAGTCTCACTATGTTGCTCTCGGTAGAGTGCCATGGTGTCACACTTCACAGCAACCTCAAACTCTTGGGCTTAAACGATTCTCTTGCCTCAGCCTCCCAAGAAGCTGGGACTACAGGTGACTGCCACAATGCCTGGCTATTTTTTTTTTTTTGGTTGTAGTTGTCATTGTTGTTTAGCAGGCCCAGGCCGGCTCAAACCCACCAGTCCTGGTAGGTATATGTGGCCAGCGCCCTAACCACTGAATTATGGGCACCAAGCCTAATTTTGGTTATTTTATTTAATCTCATTCTGTAAAAATTCAATAAGAAAAAAGGTGGGGTGCTTATGAAAGTATTCAATGTCATTATTATAAAATCAACAACAAAAACAATCCAACTACTGTCTCAATAATAGAGGACTTGTTAAAGAGTCAAGAGACAGTATAGCAACATGAAAAACATTTGTGACAAAGTTTTCTAAAAGTATAATACAGTATTTTATCTACAGTATGGACAAATGTAAATAATGGTATATTAAGGTATGAAGGTTGTGGGTGAATATAGGGGATCTGATTTATTGAAATAATTAGGGACAAACGTTTCAAAGCTCTTCGCCATTTTGACTCAGCCTCAACTTTTTGTGCCCTCAAACACTCATCTCCAAATACACTGAGATATATGCAGCTTTTTGAACAAAACACGATCTAGAGACATCAGAGTTAAGAGCTATTCCTTTAGAGTCAGACAATCCCAGACAATCCAGCCTGAATCTGCCAGGGGAAATACTATCTTGGGTGAGTTAATGTACCTCTTGAGACTCTCCTCTCCCATTATAAAATAAGGATATAATATGT